TCAAACACCATAATATATCATTTCAGAAACATTTATATTCTTATTTATGCGTTCAGATCCCGCACTCTATATAAATCATCAATTGCATTAAACTACAAAAGTATCATTTTAATTTAATGTATACGGACTTACGGAGTATATACTGTATACAATTATATATACATGCATGTACAAGTATATAATATGATTAGTAATTAAAAAAAAAAGTGACAGTTTGACCAGTCTAACGGCAAAAATTGGCAGAGAGGTCTCTTGTACCCAGAAACAAGTTCCTCATCAAAAAAATTACCACTTAAATTAAAATGGCAGTCTTCGAGGTCTCTAAACTCTCAATACCCTTAAATTAAAATTATATTATAATATATGATATTTATATGTAAAATTTTGAGTAGCAGCAATATTGATGAATTTGGGTAGTAAGTATCTTAAGTGAAAGTTGCACATCCCAATAGCAGATAAGCCAACCAACACTTAACTTCTCCCTCCTCTTCTTCTCTCGTCTTTCACTTGTCTGTACTCTTATTACTCTTACCCACGTGATTGCCTTTATTTTCTTTTTACATTTCACATGGTTTTCTTATGCATTTCCCTGCTTCCTTCAGTCCTCTTATCTATCTCTATTTCTTGGGTTAATGCTTGCATGTCCGATATTAATTAATGTACTAGTATATAAAACAAAACGAAAACAATGCCACTATTATGTAACAGAAGTAATATTAATAGTTTGAGTAATAGTGATCCGTCCGACTCAATTCTTGGGTGAGTCATAGGATTCTTGACTCTTACGTATGAGCTTTTGGACTATTTCACTTTTATATAATGGCTACCTCGAGTTTGATTTTGTTGCTCCTAGTTAAGCATAAAGAGTCGCTAACATACTAATTTATTTGTAACATATACATGATCGACCAGGTAATTACTAATTAGGTCGGGTGAACTCACTTTGTTTAGTGTTATTGATTTCTTCTCCAACCCGATGAATTATAAGGATAGATGTAGGGACAAGATAGGTATTTCCCTAACAACATACCGAGTAGAAAAATATTTCGATTGGAGGGAAAGAGGTGGTGATTGTGCATGGCATATTGCATATAGTACTTCTCAGTTCTCACCCCCATATCATCTCTATTCCCTAAGGACCCTAACACTAACGTTTCCCAATATGGCTTTATTTTAGTGGGCTTATGTGCCTTCTTATTTTCTCCTCCATCACTAACACTTATGTTCCCCAATATCAAGATACTCAAATTTAAGATTCACTGACATGATGACTCAATGTCAAGAGTATAATACCATCATACACTCACACTACTTACTTACTACGGCGAGTATATATAAATTCTAACTCTATTGTAGTCGTACACATATACATTATGTCTTTGTTAGTCATATTATAGTAAGATCAAATTTACCTCTCAAATACTGAAACCTGGCTCAGTTAGCTGCATAAGTTTTATGCAAGCTGGATGGGGAAGGCAGGTGGTACATCCTGGATTACCGCGGTCAAGAAGGTTTTTCGATCTCCTACGAAAGCATCTCCTAAGAAAAACTGCAAGAGAAAAGAAGAATGTGCAAGAGATGATGAAGAAGAGGAAAAGGTGATGATTCTAATTAAGCATGTTTTCTGAATGTAGTTTTAGTAACAGTCTTCTGAAGCTCTCATCACCTGCTAATCTGCTGTAATTTCTGAATGTCTGTCCACAGAAAACAGAGAAAAGAAGATGGATTTTCAGGAAAAATTCTTCTCATAATCAACAATATGAGGCTAATATGAGTAGCAAAGAAGTGCAAGCAGACTCGATTTCGATCCATCAGCACAGACGCATAATAGCCGCGGCAGAAGCTAGTATAGCAGCAGCAAAATCAGCTGTGGCAACTACTAAAACTGCTGTTAGAGTTCAGAACATAATACCTGCATATTTAGCTAGAGAATACTATGCTGCTTTGATTATTCAGACTGTTTTTAGAGGCTACCTAGTAAGTAACATACTCTATCTATTTTTCTTTTGTTTAACAGTACTGTTTATTGTCAATACACATTGTGCCCCTGCATTTGTAGGACTACAAATCACAAATGTACAGATTCTTCCAGAAATTAGTACTCCGTAATTCTTTGCTTAAAGTTATGTATTGTTCATAAGGAAAATCCTTGATATTTAACCTTGCATCAAACCTGATTTAAAATCTTATATGAAGATACTTGCTTGTACAACGTAGTACTTTTCGAAAATGAATAGGATATGTTGTTTATGCCTGGTATATACATTACTCAGGTTTTACTCATGGATAAGAACTGAGGAGTAAATTTACTGACATGCTATTGTTTTACTTATATGCAGTTGATAAACTTTTACTTGTCAAAACTGATCAATATACCGCAAATTTTTTATAATACATTGATTAGTAATAGTAAACTAGTAGCAGAAGTAGATGCAAACAGATATGAACAAGGTCATTTAATTTTTGGAATATACTGAATATGTATTCCAATTACTAATCAGTGGTTACTAAAGCCATATCAGAGGTTTGTGTGACTTGTGAGCATTGTTCAGTATACCATTTACTTCCACCACTGACAGTAATTGCTTATCTGAAGGCAAGACGAGCTCTGCGAGCGCTCAAGGGGATAGTGAAGCTGCAGGCATTAGTGAGAGGCCATAACATAAGAAAGCAAGCAAAGACGACATTGAAATGTATGCAAGCTCTGATTCGTGTGCAAGCTAAACTCTGTGATCAATCTTCACCAAAGGTTTCACATGGTCTAACCCGAAAGTCTATGTTTGCTGAAAGCAACAACTTATGGGACAAATACAAAAATATCCGTCAAAGAAAACCAATGGTAACACCACCCCCCTCCCCCTCCCTCATCTCTTTATATGCATGCAAAGCTCGTGCCTTCTTTTCGACTTGTGACTAACTAGACCGGAATTTTGACACCTTTATGCACCCTGACTTGCTGCAGTCTGGAGATGAAAATAGCATTGAAGAGCAATGCAAAAGCCCTTTATACACAATAGAGGATATTGAAGCCATGTTTCAAAGCAAAAAGGAAGCATCTCTATGCCGCGAACAAGCCCTTGCCTTTGCATTATCTCAACAGGTTTGTCACTTTACATAAAGTATGTGCTTTGTTCTTTTCACCTTAAATTTGTTTAAAAAAGGGCTCTATGCAAGCTTGATATACAACTAAAATAAGTTTAGTCATGTTCCAAAATGGGGAGAAGAACTAAGTTTTCTAACTTCCATTTGCATAATTTGTTAATGGTTCTAATGATCACATTGATGTTTCTATCTACATCAAGATACGAAGATTTGACCGGAAAGTATATCCAAAAGACGAGAAGGAACAGGAAAATAAGGACAATGAATGGCTCAGTCAGTGGCTGGATTCTAAAGAGTATAGTGAGAATCACATCAGTCTAACAAAACACAAAATAGAGGCAGTAAAGAATGTTGAAATGGAGTCATTACCACCACACCTCAGCACACCAACAAGTTTTCAACGATCACAGCAGCATAGGAGACACAGCCTGCATGTTGCCTCTCCAGGCTTATATACTACACGCCCTATGACCCCATCACTACGCGATACAAGGCCACAGCAGGTTCAATCAGCAAGTCCACGATGCAATAAGGGATACAAAAGCCACTCAGCAGTGAACACTCCTAGCTTACGTGTTAGTACGACAACACCAAACTACATGGCAGCCACAGAATCAGCAAGGGCCAGAGCTCGGACACAGAGTACACCCAGGCAGAGACATTCTACATCAGATAGAGAAGTTCGAGGGGGATCATCAGTAAAGAAACGACTCTCATTCCCTAATCCTGATCAACATTATTCAGGGAACATCTACACTACTGACTATAGTTCTTTCAGCCAGAACTTAAGAAGTCCAAGCTTCAGAAGTGTTCAGGAAGGCTTGTATAGTCGTATTGATAGAGCGACTACCTGTTCATCTTACACAGATATTACAGGAGGAGAAATTTCTCCAGCCTCAACAAGAAGTCATCTTAGAAGGTGGTTAAGTTAAACGAATAGAGATAAACCAGGGGAATTAAGGGATCATATCTTTTATCTGACTGGATGATTAATGTTGTTAACTAGGTTTCTAGGATTAAATCCACTGTTTTATTAACATTGCTGCAGAAAATTAGATCAAAATTTTACTCTAATTAAAACCTCTACTTCTGATTCAATATCTTTCCGTTTAACTACTATGTTAATAAAACTCAGCTTAGCAATAATCTCATCATAATCCCTTGATGCATCAAAAGCCCTTACCACACCATTCCAATGATGATCACTTCTTAATTCCAAGACAACTTCAGCTGCAGCCATAGAGTCACTCTAGCCGCGACTCTGTCAACAGATGAAGCATGTTGGCACGCGTACACTCTAGTTGATTACTATCTGCTGTCAAATGCTGAACAAGCTGTTCAAGACCAACTAGTTTCAAAGACATACTTCCAATGACTACTGCATTTGGATTTTGTCTATTCATAACTGATACTCTTTAATTTATTGTTATCTCTAACATACTATACCTAAAGAATAGGGAAATAACAAGTCTCAATAAAGTAAAAAAACATTAGACAGAGCCACAAATAGGTGTTTTGTTGAAAATATATATTCGTATTACAAAACCTTTTCAAAATTCATAAATGACTAATCCGTGTTTGAGTTATACTAATTCTTTGTGCCCTTTAAGTGGAATTTTAGATTGACCACTACTCCGTATTAGATTAGTCAAGTTTTATCAAATTGGGTCAATTTTTGACACATCTAGTCTACGAGTAGGTAAAATTATGCAAGTAAGCCAAGTTTTTTTTTAGTTAAGCCAGCTCATAATTGAACCCTGTGGAGAAGGAGAACATGGGGTAGTAAAAACAAATTTCCAAATTTAAAAAAAATCCTTAGTCAATGAATGATGTGGTGAACAGTAAGGTCACAGCATAGACATATCACATATGTAACAGAAAGACAATTAGGCCAAAAATACTGAAAGTGACACATGATCTGCATTTCAGAATCTCCCACTGTCTAATAACCATCTTCCTAACATCTTTTCTGATCATGAAAAAGTTAAACAGAAGACAGAAAGTAAATTAAAAAAGAAAATTAAAAAAATATGACAAAAATATAAACAACTTTTTAAAATACTTGAGCTACTTAAAAAGTGCATTTCTATCTTCTATTACCCAAAACTCTTACAAAAAAGAGTTGCCCCAACCTACAAAGAATTAACAGATTGTTGCTTACTAGCTAGTGTGCTCAATTTAGTGGAATGTGCAATAAAAAGCCAAACATTGCATGATAATCTTATGATATACCAATGTTAAGGTGAACACTATTATTGTTACCACTAGCTAGGATGAATGCCACTTTTTGCTATCCCAGGGTGGTGGTACTAGAGCTTGTGCTATGTCCATGAGGTGACACCAATTCATCCGAATGACTCGCCATTCTCCCATTTCCTGATCCGGATATCCCAAGACACAATGCCTCTGCCAAAGGACCACCAGGGGCAGCTGGTGAACCAATCCATGAGTTCATCCAATTCAACGGCTGATGATGATGGGACGATGATGACAGCCTTGTTTCAGGATGGTCTTTGGTGTTGTCCTCAGAGTTATCATGATCATGGTCTACACTGGCAGACATAGACAATGTGAGGGGCAAAATGGAATTGAGCGGTGAGGATGGAGTAGGGCAGGTGTTAGTGTTATCAATGGAATTCGAACCATCCTTGGGATCGCCGTGATCACCTAAAGACCAAGCATCGATAAACGGCCTAGGAAGAAGGCAGCTTTGGTTATGATCTTCAACAATAGATGATGTTCTTGTTGTGTCACCCCCTCCTATTTGTTGAGGGTACAAACAAGCAGTAGTAGTTGGTGCAACTTCCTTCAATGTGAACCAATCTGGATACCTAATTTAAAAAGTCATAATTTTGTTTTAACCAAAAGGGAAAGTTTAGAGTCAAACACTCAAAAGAAATCCCTACTTAAACCCCCTCCACAAATATGAAATAAAATATCATCCCCCACCTTCATCACCAAACATCATTTACTTGTGAAAAAACAAAATCCTCTTACACCCCACCACATAAATAACACACTCCAAAGTAGCAATATTTACTCCCCTCCTTAATTAATTCCCATTTCCCAATATATAATCCAAATGAATAGAGTTGATAGACCCATTTTAATTACTCTCATTTCACCTCAAATACCCGTGTATGTCTAACCCGTGAATGTAAGACACTATACAGTATTACAAATTGTCAAATCAGACACTTGGACACGTACTCATGTAGCCATATCTAACATGTGTAATATGATGACCATTAATTACATGAACTGTACTAATTCAACCTCATACAATCAATAACAATAAGAAATGAAATCCAGAAAATTCAATAAAACAGGAAAAATGAACAAAAAAAAAAAAAAAAAAAAAGAGGAAAAAAGATTATACCTTGGAAAAGAGTTGAATTGAGTAGGAGAAGGCAAGTCGAAGGAGTGAGAAGAGGGTTTAGGGATTGAAAAAGGGGTAAAGATAATAGGATTAGAAGAAGAAACAGAAGGTGTAGTTGTAACAGGAAGTGTTGCTGCTGATGTTGTTGATGATTCCACAGGCTTTCTTGAACGAGAAGGACGGCCTTTGTGAGAATGTCTTTCACAATACTTTTGTTCAGGTGCTACATCCCTTGAACACCTCCATTTCTTCCCATCTGTTCTTCTACACCTCCATGGCTCTGGATCTCCTCCCCCGCCTCGCCCCACCCCCGCGTATCGCATTTCCACCCCTGCTTTCCTCCCTACTGCATCACCCACCCGATATAAAGCGTGAGTTAAAAATGTCTAATCATTGCAAATAATTTAAAACGGAAGTAGTAACTAAAAGGTAAAACTAATTGATTAATTATTTACCAGAGGGTGATGATGTAGTAGTGATAGTAGAAGTTGAAATAGAAGGGTATTTAGACAGAGGAATGAGGAGTTCAGGAGGTACAGGCATAGCAGCCATCATATATTTATATATGATTGTTTGTCTCTCTAATTCTTGTCTTTGTATTGCTGTAAATGTCACTCTTCCTCCATCTCCTGAACAACAACAGCAACAAAAAAAACACCGATAATTTATTATTTACATAATTCATCCTTCTGAAATAATTCAGCATCGCCCGATTTCTCAGGGCGATGTTTTAAATTAACAAATTACGTAAAAACATAGTTACCAAATCGCGAAACCGAAGAAAACCCGGAAATTGTAGGACTAGGACTCCTGTTATCTTCGGTATGATTGTGAATTTGGCGTGTTTGAAGCCACGGAACAACACAGTGTTGTTGTTGCTGCTGCTGCTGCTGAAGATGCTGTTGTTGTTGTCTCTGTTGTTGTTGCGACTGCGGTTGTTGCTGCTGTTGTTGGAGCCATGGAATTTTTAAGCCTAACCCAACATCACAATAGTCTAAATTAACATCACCTTTGTCGAATTCCCAATTTCCATACACGCTAGTTCGATTTCCACTTGCCATTTTGTAAAAGAAGAATCAGAAATCCAAAAGAAAGAATTATTATAGTTTCAGAGTATTTCTGATGTTAAAATTCCAAGTAAAATGAGACAGAGCTTAGTTTGTTGTTATATTGGAGAGAGAAGGGGGTGGAAGAAGAAGCGGTGGCCGCCAAAGTAAGCAACTAAGATTTGTTTGTTTATTTGGATTAAGCTAATTTGCATAATAATAATACAGTATGATATTAAAAATGGTGTTTATTTGTGTTTTTTTAAAGTAGAATTGAGATGTTTGAAGATGAAGGTGGTATGTGGGTTTATGCTTCCTATGGTTCCAACATTGATGTTAGTAAGTGGAGTGAGTGGTGTGGAAACAGACAAAATTAGTAAACGATGCACTGCGTGAAGGAGAGAGAAACAACGAAAGTAAGTGTGTGTGTTTGTGTTTTAGAGCAGAGAGGTTTAGTAGTCTAGTGTCATTGTCCTCACTACACACCTCGCTATTCGGATAAATTCATCTTCTTTTTTCTTTTCTTTTTCAAAATGAGTAATTGATTTTGAAAAAATTAATATAAGTACTCAATTACGGTATGTTCCGATTTACTGAAAATAACTTAATTGAATTAAACCTAAGGGGTCGTTTGGTTGGAGTTAATAATCAAAGGGAAAAAGAATGAAGATGGCTCATTCCCTTTGTTGTTGTTTGTTTGCCATTTTTTTCATTTCCTTTACCCATTTTCATTTATGAGTTTACCCAAAATCCTTCTATATTGATTCCCCACCCCCCCTAGACTTTGGCATTCCCTTTCCCCAGCCACCACTACATCACCAACTGCTACCTTACCCAGTCACGCCCACCGCCAAGGCACCTCGCCGGAACTCGTCACACCTCCCCCTCCCCTCGCCGGAACGCGTCGCACCTCCCCCTTCCCGGAATCCGTTGCGCCTCCCCCTCCCCTCGCCGGAATCAGTTGCACCTCCCCCTCCCCTCGCCAAAACCCTTGAAAATCATCCTCCCACCCAAGTCAGCCACGCAAACCCAACCAATCCGCCGCCCAAGATTCCGACACGCAAACCCAGCCACACAAACCCAAACAAGCCAGCAAAATCGAGCGACGATGGTGGGAAGATGCGAAATCGGGCGGCGAGGGGGTGGGGGAGATGCGAAATTGAGCGACGAGTGGTGGGGGAGGTACGATATCTGGCGACAGTGGGTGGGGGAGGTGTGATATGGGGCGGCGAGGGGTGGGAAGATGCGAAAATGGGCGGCGAGAGGGTGGGGGAGGTGCGAAATTGGGCGGCGAGGGTCAGTGAGGTGGTGGCTGGTGGAATGGCTGGGGAAGAGGGGTTGTGTGGTGGTGGTGGTGCAGGTGGTGGAATGATGGTGATTCCTTTGTTTTGTAAAACAAACAACATACTACGTAGAAAGGGTTTTATTCTATTCCCTTTCCCATTACCCCGTGCGAACCAAACGACCCCTAATTGGAGCTGAACTAAGTAGAGGTGAAATGAATTGTTTATGAGAAAAGGAAATTAGGAAGTGAAGTAAAGTGAATTAATTGAGGCTAAACTAAATAGACCCGTAGTCAATTGTGTCAATTTTGAGTTTTAGCTTTGGAGTTGGACTTGATGAACACATTCTCAATTTTTAATTTGAGGTTGGGGGCCTTGGGGATGATCATACATTCACTAAATTAAGAATTGCTACTCCTATGAATATAATGATCGGTGTCACTTTAGTCGAATATGTGTAATCGGTTGTTCATTTAATTTGAGTTATTTTGAATACTTTATATATTTAAACGGAATTTTATTTAATGAGTCTAAATCATTATTTACTTGTTTTATTTTCTTGATTTTTTTAAAAAATATGCCTTCAATTTAGTGTTCATTAATGAATATGACATTTGGAGTGATGTTGAAATCTATCATAATTGATCACGATTCACTGTCATATAATTCAAAAGTAATAATGTGATTAATGTCTACTAGTAATGTATTCTTTTGTCTATATATAAATTCTAATTTACTATGAGTACTGCTTAATGAAGTAAATTTTATTATTTCTTGTCTTTACTCATCACTCCTTATAATAGACCGATTAAAAACTTAAATCAAACTTTATTAGTTTAAGAGTCTGCTCTGATTGACTGAATTGAACTTATTAAAACTGAACTAATCTAAAGTAAAGTGAATATTCTATGAGAGAAGGAAATTAAAATAAAAACTGAACAAAATTGAAGTTATTGAAGCTGAAATAAACTGAAAATAAGCTAAAAACAACAGGCTTTAAATAACCCTACTTATCTATGCTGAAATCAATTTGTATAACCTATACTACTCATACTTTGAATAGGACAAAAACATACCAAGTACTCAATAATAAATGGTTGTTTTTACCTTTGTTTGGAGGAAAGCTAATTTGTAAGAAGGAGTCAAAACTTGGCACCACTTGAAGTCTTGAAGTAGTAGTCGTCCTTGTTCACGGCTTAGGTAATTACGTCGTTGGTTAAAACTCGAAAGGGCCAAAACTCACCGTTTAAAGATGTCCTTTATACCTCATCTTCTCTATACTCTCTCAATAGCCGCTTAATATTATTGGATGTTTGCATTAACCAAGCATTTCACATCACTTTCCTACTTTTTGCCTTTCTCTTATCTCCTCATTTAATTACTTCCTATTAACACTTTTATTTATTTTTTTATGCTCTTGATATTTTTCACCTCAAGACAAACCCCTTTATTTCTCTTTTGTTTTCTTCCCCTCGACAATACTATTACGGAGTACTACTCTTTGGTTTTTTCTAACGTCATTTCTTACTCCCTTCTATGTTCTATATATGAGTATCCATCATAATTAATTACATTTATTTTGATACTAGTACTACTCTTTAAGGGTCTGTTCTGATTTACTGAAAATAATTGAATAAAATGATTGGGGCTGAAGTGAATTAAACTAAACTAAACTAAAAAGAGCTAAAATGAATTGTTTATGCGAGAAGAAAATTAGAAATTGAACTGATTGGAGTTGAACTGATTGAACTAAAGTTAAACTGAACATAGCAGGCCCTAACTCTTTTATTATTCCGTATTAGTTTCATAGGGTATATCATATATGATATGGAGTACTTTTTTGTTCTTTTTTTAGTCACATGATTTATTTTGACTCCTATGATTCATAATGTAGGAAAAATCTTGTCTTGTGAGATTCATTTAATTGTATTTTATCAAATGATTAACTATTTTTTTTTATATATATATATATAATTATTAATTAGATCAGTATCTGTGTTGGCGATTGAATTCTTTTATAAATATGATATAAAAGTGTGAAACAATGGAGTAAAAATCAAAGGAAGTATGAGGTTTAATGTTTAGCCCACATAGGCTTAGGAGTTAAGGAAAAGTGATGTTAATTAAAGACAATAGGCTATCTATGAGCCTATTATGATATCCTTTGTCAAGGGAATTTATGATATTGTCCATCTAAAGATGGAATGTCAAATTTTTAACAAATTACATAAATTATACTGCCAACCAGTGTACTTATTTGAGAACATGGTTTTGCATTATAATCTCAATAACTCAATTAATTGAATGTTACATAATGTTTTAAGAGGAATTTCATTAATTCCCATAATGATGCAATAAAAGTTATTTGCTAAAATAATATACTATACTGTAAATAAAAATAAAATAATAAAGATCATGCATGTGCTTTAGAGAAACTAAAAAAAAAAAAAATCCATTTGGAAATCCATTTATCAATTTTAGGGTAATTAACAACTTTTGAGCAATATAAATGTCAAATTAACCACTATCAAGTATCAAGCATAGCTTATACATAATTCCCACGAGCTAAATACTTATATTCAAGAATGTATCCTACAATATGGTACAACTCACGTACAATGTTGTTAAGTTAAAGCCTCTATAATTTCTTAATCATGTTATTATAATTTTATAAATTTTATGTCATGTCGGACTCGTGCAAGTCGTGTTGTAATAAGACCATGAGTCGAGGGTGAATAATGATGGTGCCATGGCAGCAATGAGCTGGTATCCGGCCACGTAGGCAGGTGAGCAAGCAAGAATTACGCCCTGTGGAGGAGATGCTACGACTCTACGAGTAGAATGCATGAAAGGTCAAATACAAGTCGTATTAAATTAAAATACTCCGTACTTAGTAACATACTCACTTGATCACTACTCGTATGAGGCTGACTTCGACTTTGAATATATAATTGGTGGAGTAAAACTGTAAAGCATTGAAATTCTGACAAAAAGACAGTAATAAAAGAGTAGGCAGGGTTGAAAAGCAAAGTCTAAAAATAACCGTACCCTACTAAAAAAGTCTAAAGTCACATCTATCTATGTATCTCTATTATATATTGACTAACGGTCACCGTCTCATTGTATCGTCAGTCGTCGCCACTGCCACCACTTGAGTTACGCCGTTAAGTTGCTAGTGCATGTATGCTACATTGCTTCCTAGGCATTTGACATTAGGCACTAGCATTATTTATCTATCTAGCTTTACTCTTTTCGACATCACTTTCATTTAATTTATCTTGTGCCATAAATACGAGTAAAAAAATACTCGGTGCTAAGTACTTCGAACTTGTTCTCTTCAACTTATTTTCAATTCTGTTCAACTCTAATAAGTTTAGTTCATTTTATTTTTTAATTTTCTTCTCTCATTAAATATTTAATTCAGTTCAGCTCCAATAAGTTCTGCTCAGCTCAATTCATTAATAATCTTATTAAGAGAGTTATGGAGCAACCTTTAAAGGATTAATGTTATATACGGAGTACTTCATAGTCCACACGTCCATACTCCATCGTATGGAATGTATAGAGTTGGGGTATATCTGATTGATTGAAATGAGCTAAACTTAATTGAAAATAATTTAAAGAGAACAGACTATTGGGGATACCAATACTACTAGCTTACAATAACAAAGGACCAGTTTGTAATTTTTGGACCCTAAATCATTGTTCTAAAGATACGCTTATGATATTTATTACAGAGTAACAAAATTATTTTACTACATTACTAAATTCATGTTATGATAAAATTGATATTATAATCTTTCAAATAAAATTTATTTGATATTAAATCATTGATCATCAACAATTTATGTACTTCATACGTATATAGTTTTATAAGATACTTCATATACTTCCTCCGCCCGCAATTATCTGCAACATTTGTCATAAATGGGTGCTCTCTATCATGTGTAATAATTTTTTTATCTTTCCTCTTTTAGTAAATTTTAAAGTGTAAAAAAAACCATCTTAAACATATGAGACCACTTTCTCTCTCCTATTTCCCACTCACTTTACCCACTAACAAACTTAAACATATAGGCCCACTTTCTCTCTCCTATTTCTTTCATTTTTACAACTTAATTAAATCCACCTAAACTTAATTAAACTCCACTAAAAGTTTTGCCTAGGAATCCGCAAAAAGGACGTTTGGTGCAGATAATCGTGGGCGGAGGGAGTAATAAAAATATCAAGTCTTAGGACCCTTTCACTTGGAGGCACTATACGATTGCCCATCATGCACATGCCCAAAAGGCAAAACCACCCTAGTAATGTACTCGTACTACGTACTAAGGAGTACTAGTGTACTACTACGTTACAATGCACTCTACGGCTCTACGCCTCTACCTCTAAGTTTCTAACCATTTTACTGAATAGTTTTAGTCTAGTGGCAGAAATTATGTCACATAATCACGATAATCTTGATGTTTACGAATTACGACTCTAACAAGAATAATTAATAATTGCGTGAAATAAGGTACATGCAACTATGCAAGTATAGGCGTATAGCCTAGCTAACTTATGGATAGCCTTAGCCCTTAGGTCATTTGTTAATTATCTCGCAGCAATATATAGCATGTATATACTTTATGTAAGGAACTAAGGGCATCTTTAAGGGTGAATTATTTAATTGTTCACAATGAATAAACAAATAAAGTGGTGGCTTAATGGCAAACCTTTAATGGTTCATGTTGAGTGGTCATGGGTTCGATTGCAGGAGCAAGCATTTCCATGAATTAATTCGCTGTGGGCCCCACCAATATTTTGGACTGGTATTATAGCAAAACGACGTCGTTTTGCTGTTGAAGCTCAGAAAAAAAAATAGAAATCAGCGGCTGGGAGCGCGCCACTTGGCCCAGCCGCTGCTTGACACGTGTGCACTGTTTTAAATATATCCGTTGTAATTTTGCAACGGATATATTTTACAAAATACAAATAAAAAAAAAAAAAAATTACCAACGACTCTATTTTTTTCCCCTCTATAAATAGACACCCATATTGATATATTTTTTTCAACTTTCAAAATTCATTTTTTTCTACTATATTTTTCTCTTCAAAAATCCCCTCTATAATTACCAATATTATTATTATTATTTATACCAATATTAATATTATTATTGTTATTATTATTTTTAATTATTATCATTAATATTATTATTAATATTATTATTATTATTATTATTGTTTTTATTATTATCGTTATTATTATTATTATTATTATTTTTATTATTATCGTTATTATTATTATTATTATTATCGTTATTATTATTATTATTATTATCGTTGTTATTATTATTATTATTATCATCGTTGTTATTGTTATTATTATTATTATTATTATTATTATTAAAAAGCTCGTTTTGCCATTATTAAAAAGCCGTCTTTGGCGTGGGATACCGACATACTCCACAATATCATGCTCGCCTGCATCATAATACATAATATGATCGTTGAAGATAAACGAGAGACGTATCAAAATAACGTTAATACCAATGAGTTTATGAATGCTGGAGGGAACGCTAATGAGGACACTACCGAGTACCGTACTGATCGTATTGTGGATATCGGCTTATACTTGTCTCGTAGAACAGAGATTGAGGATCAACAGACTCATTTGCAGCTAAAAAACGACTTGGTCGAACATATATGGAATAAATTTGGTAACAACGAAAACTTAGGCAACTAGGTTTACAACAAATGGTTATCCCTAAGGACATCTTACAAAACGATGTGTAGTTGTGTTTTTTTTTTTAAATAAAATGTACTAGATTATAGTTGTAGAACTGTAATCACGATTTGTACCTCCTTTTTTTTTATGTTAATTAAAATTAGCCGCGTTGTTGTTAAAAAAATATTAATCACAAGAATTAATTTTTTAAAAAGCTGATAAAAAAACGCGATAATTTCTTATTTAGTAATCACGATTAAAATATTAAATACGTCAATTAATTACATTGACATCGGTTAATAAATTATAATTATGAAACAAAAAGATTATATTTACAAAAATAAAATAAGGTGGGGTAGGGAGTATTGATGATGAACCATTGTTTAGTGTTTATTGTTAAGAGTGAATATTGTAAATGGTTTGTTGGGTTGATGTGGATGAGAGAGAAATGGTGATAGTGACCCATGAACCATTTTTTTTTGTTCACCAATAATGGGGCTCTAAGGACATAAGATTAAAGGCTTACATCATAGTAATTATAGTGATTTGTATGTCCACTTGGCTAGTACGTACTTGTTAAATTTGAAATGGGGTGAGTAATTTCGTTGGGAGAAAGAAGTGAAAATGTGGCTATTTGACTAATTTGAGGGCATTGTCGCCATTGTGTTTAGGAGCAAGGGCTAAATTTAACAAAGAGAAGTATTTTAACAACATTTTCTAACTGATATTGAGACCTTAATTCTAGCGTAAGGGTATAAAGGCCGATAACACATTGCAGAGTAGGGTGCTTATCGAACGAGTCGATTACGAGTGAAGAGATGCTCGACTCAACTCGAAAACTTTTTACACGTGCTCAACATTATAAAAACGAATGAATCAACAACATTCAAGTGTCCTCGTCCTTCTCATGGGCTACTTAGTTGGATCACGGTGTTTTTGGCCCATTTTTTTGCTGACCCAACTATCACAAGTTCACAACTCCCACACATGTGCCCACCTGGATGTTTTTATTCTTTATTTGTAAATTGAGCAATACAAACTCGTAGGATTTTAAAATACAGTAATATTTTATCAAAATTTTACTTGATAAACGCTAACTTAAATTTATTTAGAAAACATCAATTTTCTTTTATAATAAGCCAAATCTATTTTTTTTATTTTTTATTTTTCTTCTGCCAAATTTGTTAAACTAAAGAGAGAGTAAAAGTCGGTTGGTTTATGGCTTTTCAAGAATATGATCAGTTTATTGTACAAGTAGGTTGTGTTTGTCCATGGATGAGTTGTGGAGTAGACTTTTTCCACGTTTATTCCCTTGGCATTCTTGTTGTTTTTATTCGGGCCTTTGTAACCTTCACTTCACTCTTTTCTTAATGAGATGTTTAGGGGTTGGTTAATTCTCTTAATTTCTGATTAATCTCTCCGGCCATGTTCATTAGAGCTACTCTGCTCTTATTTGTCATGCTTTGTTCTGTTCTACTCAGCTAAAATCTAATCTGCTCTACTAAGCTCTGCCCTGCTCTGCTTTGCTAAAATGTGCTATAATCTGCTTCGCAGTGTGTGGAAGCTTAGTCCTACTCTGCTCTGGTCTACTGAAATCTGCTCTGCCCAAAAGCTCAAAAGAACATTCGTCTTCCATTTTCTCCATCCTTTCATATTGCCTTGTGATTCATGTACATCCCCCGGTGGAGAAAATCAGGAGTATATGACATACACATTATATATATCTAAAAAGAGCTAAACACATTCTTCTTCTTTTAGGCATAATTTCGGTTGTGCTGGAATTCTTTCCAAAGTCAGTGACAAAAGTCACACCACACCATCTCACTTCGATCATACGAACACATTATCATTATGGAGGATATTTTTGTAGCCTTTGAATGAAACACTTAATTTTACAATAAAATCTACACTTTGAAGAAAGATTTGTCTTTTGTAATTGATAAAAAGGTTCATTACCTTTGCTAAATTGATACTCCGTATTTCTCACGCAAGGGTTTACAAAATTCAAGCTAAACTGTTTTTTTTTGTAGTATAAGAAATGTCTATCTACAAGTTAAAGGGGTGTAAATTGTAATGTTTACACCTCAAAAATTAATTTTCCTCACAAGTAGAGCACCAAATAACTAAGGACTAAGGAGTGTCAAAACTCGGCACCTTGTCAATCGAGTAACCACATTTTTGGTCATGACACGTTACACCTCTTTATGAGTCTATTTTTGCTAAACATGATCTATTTAATTATATACTAAAGTTAACTTAATTTGTCAAGCTTATTTGATAAATCAAGGTAAACTAAACTATTGTTACTTGGTGTCGATTGTCCTGATTATATGTATCGGAATTCGAAAGCGTGCAAACAAAGAGACAGAGCATGAAATACACCAGGCTAAAATGTGCCAAATGCCAAATAGATTCAATCATACGAACATTATACTAAAACTTGAAACCCTCACTATTTGGATCATATAAATTCACTTACCGACACTTTGAAGCAACTTAGTTTTCAGAAAATTTTGTCAATACTTGACCCAGGTACAACTACAAATCTCTGAAATTCAAATCTAAAATAAAAAGAGGGACACAATCAACTTACCATATTATTATTATTATATACTCTATCACTTACTTCCATACAAAATTTTATAAAAATTAAACAAAATAGAACTCTAATTTCTCATAAAAAAGAAAAAGAAAAAGAAAAATAAAGTGACCTTAAATTCATCATTCATCTTCAACCCCAAAAATCTTTTCAATTTAACTGAGGATTAAACTATGATCATGGTGAGAAGAATATGGAACTGAAAACTTATGCTTGAACAAAACTCTAAGTTGTGCTTTCTGACACTCCACCTTATTACTGAAACCACCCAAATCTCTCAACTGTTTATTGCAATAATAATTAGCATTATTTGTACCATTGTTATTAGCATTACATCCATTGCTTTTCGCCTTAATCGCCCTTTGAAACTCCACAAACCCTTTAATCCCTTGCTTAATATGCGGATTCTCAGTTTCCGGCGACGACGACAAACACGACACTGCCGCCTTCCTTTGTACATTACTCCCATTCTTGCTACAGCCATTATGCTCAAAAGACGACCCCATTTCCTTTGAAAGTATAACAGAATCTGTCGAACATGGTTTGATCTGCTGTTGCTGTTGCTGCAGTAAAAAACCGTTGAGAAACTCCTGATGGCAAAAGAGCTGTGCATCAGCAAGCTTCATCTGAACTCTTTCCTCCCTTAAAACTTCCGCCATTCTCAACATTTTTCTCTCTTCGTTCATTTCCGCCTTCATCTTCTGCATCTCTTCCTTCAGCCGCGTAATCTCCTTCATTAGATCATCGCAAACAACACACACTTTGTTCCTCTGAGATTGATCAATAAGCTCTTTCGATAGCTTCTTGTTCAAACCCTGCATTCGCTTTCTGAGTGTTCTTTCCATCTCCAATTCTGCCTTCAATTCCGCAATCTGGGTTTTAGTATTACTCATCTTGAGATCTGACTGATGCAGGAACTTTGCTGAAGCACTGTATTTGCGCTGAAGTTGCTTGGGTTTAAGTGTAAAGGGACTAATATTGCAATCATTATTAATAATATGATTAATATCAGTATTATTATTACTGGTAAAATTAGTAATAATGGGATTAGTGGGAATAAAAAAGGGATTTTGGTAAAGTTTCCAGCTAATTGGACAGGTAGATTTGATGATGTGATTTCTGGGGAAATCAGTATCAAGATCATCTAGGTTGGCACTCGTGCTATGCATCATCGCCATCAACATAACATTTGATTTTATAATTTAATCGAGTATTAAATTTTGTTGTTTTTGGAAGAGGAGAAATATTTTCTGGTTGGGTATTTATTTATGTAAAAGAGGGAACTTTTTTTTTTGCATTTATGTGGAAATGTATTGTATTGACAAAAAAGGAAGCAAGGCATGAAGTAGTTCTGTACAAGTAGGGACATGAATTAATTGTGAACAGCAAGGAATTTAAGAAGGTGGGTGATTGAAAAATTTTAAAAAATAAAAAAAAATTAGAAAATAAAATAAAATAAAAAGAAGAAAAGGTAAAGAAAATAAGGTCACATCTCACATGGTAGTGTATTGATATCTCCTTTTCTTCATAATAAACAAGGTGGACAAAAGAAAGAGAGGCCACCGCTATTTGATTATTTTCTTTCATTACTTACACCTATGATTCCACAATCTAATTTACTTATGGCAAATGATAAGAGGTTAGACTCATTAGAGTAATTGGAAAGAGGCCTCTTCTGAGTTTTAATTTGATAAAAGGTACGGAGTAATAAATGTGACGGATTCTAGGATAGAAAAGTAAAAATTACGGAGTATTTATTCGAATTTTGATTTTTTTTTTGTCAAGTTAGTTTTTTGAGCTTTCTATTCTCGATCAATTAAACATTTTTATTAGAGGTTTGAGTTAGTCAATCGTTTCTTTTTATAACCTCAAACCTGCCTTGACCAAGGAGGGCAAAGACCCCAAAAATAGTTAGGGTAGTTCAAGACCCATTTAGTTCTTTTAACAAGTACTTCATTGGCAATCTAAGTTTTACTACTCTGTAAAAGATAATTCAAAAATATTAATGATGTCAATTGTGCATTAACAAACAAAAAAACTCCATTATGCAATTTATAAAGAACAAAAGAAGTATTTAATACAGAGTACAATTTCTTTGACAAAGATTAGTTAAATATATTCCTTATTAATCCTTATCCAATATGATTTAGGTTTGACTGAAATTCATTAAAACATTTTCATAATAGTGATTGATGTAATAAAATTTATCGAGCCAAATCAGATGGCCGAAAGTATTTATGGTATACTGTAAAACCATATTATTCGCTTGATTGTGAATTGTGATTAGGTTCCACTTGGGCGAAATTGTGGGGAATAATAATGTCTTAATAGTCTTCTTGGTCACATAGCATGCCATGTAACATCATATCTAAGTCAAGACTTTGGATTTCTTTGAGGTTGGACCATATACTGTGCAGTTATATGCAGACATGCAGTTGTTGACAAACAGGTTTTGAGCCTAACTTCTAATTACCCACAACATCAAAACGACAAAGTCTCATTAATATGCCTCATAATCCTAACTATAATGTTTAATAAACTTAAGCCCTAAGCTAAGCTTATATATTTTGCAATTGATGCTTAAATGTACTTCATTTTATCTTACAGTTTATATAAACTAAAATTTAAGTTGATGCATGGTTGAAACCTTTAATTGGTTTATATCTTGTTTCTAGAAACAGAATTCTCCTCGATGAATAAGGGTATTTCGAGTAGCAAGATGTCCAATGCTTATATTTTTAAAACCATCGTTATTGCAAGTATGTTAGGTGTTTGACCAAAGTGTATCTATATGGACATCACACATTAGTAAGAGTGTAAGACAGTAGGATTGAAACAATGTAAGACTCAATGTGAGGACAATCCATGTGCGTGAGTATAATTAAGGTACCGCAAAAACATTTAAACATGTTCAGTTTTTCAGCTAACGTTGTTTTCTTTGTATTCATTCGCATAAGATTGGATTGGCAAATAATTACAATGCATTATGAGCATAAACCAATTACAAAATTTGATTAAGAAAATGAATTTGGTACTAATTTTCACGGTACATGACAAAGTTATAGATGTCAAGTACTTTTCACAGTATAGTGGTTATTTGTTAACTCCATCTCATAGATAAAACACATATGTATCAAGCATCCTTCAAAAAACATATATTAAGCACTTCCTAGTTCCTAGTATATGTATGAATTATGAAATCTAGGGATGGCAACGGACTCAGAGTGGATTGTGCTAAATCAGAATCCGACCCTATAGGAAGTCGGAGGCTAATCCGACTCCGATATCCGACTTCGAGACTCCGATTCCGACTTCAATATCCGACCATCAACTCCGACTTCAATCCGACCCGACTCCGAGTTTTTTCCATTATTCAATATACTTTGAGAAATTGGGCTATTTGGGCCTTTATAACCCACACCCAATGCCACCAGGCCATGACCCACACCAAAATCAACGATCTATTGGAGAGTCGGATAATCCGTCGTAGTCGGACATTTGTCGGAATCGGATTTTTTTCTCGGATTTTTTGTACGATCCAACTCCGACCCTCCTCCGACTTGAAGTCGGATTATTTTGACGGAATCGAACTCAGATTACTTTTTTCTCGGACTCAGCAGATTTTTTACCTCGGATCGAGGCGGAGTAGGGTCGGATCCGGACTGGATTGTCATCCCTATTGAAATCAGTCTCCTTCTCATAATGGCATAATCATAGGTTGATCTAATAAGGACATGGGTGACACATGTCCTATCATTTTCAAAAAATTAATAGTGCCCCGCTTAATCCTAGATCCACCTCTTACTATTATTCTTAAGAGTTTCATTGTTCTTTAAGAAAAGAATTTACCATTTTCTAATCTTTTGAAGGGAAAGATTGTTCCCAATCTCAATTTTCAATCGAATACAATGAGTCATCATCATCCTCCCTACTCTCCTTCTTATGAAGAAAAGTGGTCCCAACCAATAAAAAAGGGCACATAAACTTCAAATAGACGCTGCCATTTTCCTTTCCTGCTATTTAGAGTTCTACACCCAATTAATGTAGGCTATATTATACTACTTGTATAAAAAAAAAAAAACATGAGAAAAATGATTCTGTAACGTGTATTGGTATCTGTTGAATTACTAATTAATACTCTTAGTCCGGACTATAACGCACTCAAATATGGCACCCTTTTAGTGATTTTAGTCTTTCATGTATTAATTGATTGAAATAAAATACACCAACTCTCAACTAATCAATCAATCCTTCAAGTAAAATATTGAAACTAGAATCATCTTGGTTGAATCACCTATACTCCTACTTCAAATTCAATTGATGAAATTCAATTACCTTTAAAATGGAATCACTAATATTATTGCCTCTCTTCCTGCTATAATAATACTAATAACAAAAGTTTCATCACTATTTGCCAAAAGTTTAAAAAATAATACATAAATCTACTGTTATTTATTGATATAAATTAACTTTTGACATTATTCACAATCTTTATTATGACTAATATTAGGGAAGTGATTTTTGCACAACTTTATTTGATAACCGCACACCTTAAAATTCAATTGATCAGGAGAGCAGTATTTTGGTGTAAAGTTAGTGTCCGGAAATTACCAGCCCTAGTTTTTGTGATATATTCTTATGATGATACAATAGATTCATTACCCTTTCTTCATCTTATTTGTTTTCTTAAATTCATACCAAAAATATGTACCAAGGATTTTCAGATGCTTGAGACTTAAAACAGTCAAAGCTTGGTGTGTAGTGAGCAGGGGTCATAATGGGACCAAATTCGAAAGGCCTACCATATTCCTGACCAAGGTGACATACAGGGTGTCCCTCAATTGGCAGAAATTACCACTTCAATGCTACTCACCCTTCCCTAGCTAAATCCATACAATGATTAATTAAATTACTACGAAGTATTTGACTAGAATTAGAGAATAATGATTACTATATGATCTTTCGATATTTTAAAAGATGGTTAATTAAATCGAGAAAATAATGATAAACCAAGGAAAGTGATCAGAAATTCTATACGGTTCACCTTAAACTGAACGTGGTAGTATTTAACGCTTGACCACTAATCATAAAAATGATTTAGTAATGGTGCAACATCCCTCTCTTGCAAATTAGAGTTTAAAACACAATCTACTAGGGTATATAGTTGTAGGCTTGTAGCCCTAGTATGCATTTGTCTTCGATGTATATTTTTAAAATTTTGACTTTTTTGTTGTCAGTTTTCAGAACAATAATCATTTTAATAAGTTTAACTACTTTTTCAATTTTCAAAAAAAAAAAAATAATAAAACCCTACTTTTTTTCAAAAAAATCTTTATTTATATACGTTCTCTATTTTTTTTTTAGTTGACACCTTTCTATTATCACGCTTGCCAACGCATATTTTTAACGATTAATATTCTTTAACTATCAACATCGTAAAATTATAAAAATTGGATATGAATAAAATATATACATTGAAGCTATTCAAACAAGATCTCACATGAATATGTTTTATCATATCTATAAACCACAAAAGCGAGTCAAAGTGTGTTGTATGGATAGTGTAAAAGTCAAACGGTGCCAACTAAAAAAACGGAGAAAATATTATTTAAAAAATTGAAAATAATAGTAATGCAACGGATTCTTAACAAACCAGTTTTGATTTAGTTTTTTCACAAAATCACAAGTATACAATTTGTAAACGTATTAATTCACTTTTAGTAAAAAAAACCAATATATGGATTCATTATTAACGCATAAATAATTTAATAATACGTACTAGCTAGTAGTATTAATCAACACAATTGTAATTCAAGTAACGGTCCATAATCTTATTTAATCACTAATTTATGAGATAAGTAAAGAGAAATGAGAGTTAATCTTATTTAATGACTAATTTATGAGATAAGTAAAGAGAAATGAGAGTGGTGATGACCAATAAAAAAGGCTAATAGTTACAATTATAGTTTAATGGCAAGCTGAAAATCAGCTCCTTTCTGCGAATTATTAGCAGGAATAAGAGTAGGTGATTCCACCCACGTGGCAGCATTAGTGTTGCTAGCTCGAAGCAAGTATCTTACTCTATAACCTCCATTTACTGTTGGTGGATTTTCCAGGTCCCAAACTGCTCCAAATGGCTTTCTCATGGGTTTCCATTCTTGGGTTTCCTCCTGCATTTCAAATAATATGAAGCCCAATTTAGCCCAATAAACAAATTATTTGTAACTTTGTATGAGTGTATTGTGTGGTAAGTGTACCTACCAAGTCGCACATAGAGAAATGAAACAAGTAATAATAAAAAAAATAAAGGGAGTACGGTTTATAATATGTGTAATCCCCTGATTTATTCCCTTAAGCTTATAATCAAAGTATATTCCTAAGCTAACTCTTAGTTAACAATATACTTGGTTAAATGTATTTAGTCGTATTTTATTGATTATTAATAATAATGTACTATATATACTTAAAGAATTGCATCAATATAATTAAGCTTTCTCTTTTACTCTCAAAGCTTTTAATATTCTCTTTCTCATAACTTTATCATGATATGTTATTCCACACATGTGGTGTGTATGCGTCATAGAGACTACATTATAGGTGATAGATAAAAGGAAGGAATAAACAAACCTGCCAAACTTCAATTCTAACAATGTCATAGAGAGAAGGATTATAGGTGATAATAATGGCAAAGTAGTTAGGGTATCTGGAGGCTTCATGTATGTTAACAATGAAGTTTGAACCACCGAAGGTGCAAGGGACTCGGTGGTAATCGATGTTAACGACGCCGTATGAGAGCAGCTCGGCTTCTAACCCGGGTTGGGCCATCTTAGCGTAGGTCTTGGCCGGAAATAGGAAATCTGTCCTATCGCCCATCCCAAAATCTGTTGCCACCACCACCACCCCATCTTGTGTGCATTCTCCTGTCTTGCACTTTACCTAGTAATTATTAAAAAATATTAATTTATTGATAGAGTATAAAACATATTCTTGCATGCAAAACATACTCCTAGATCTCAAGACTCTTAACTATCTAAGCGGATGGTTGAGCACAAGATTATGTTTTATACTCTATCATTAATGATCAAATATATAAATTAAAATTCGCTAAAAAAAAAAGTCAAATTGACGAACATTATTAATATATTATAAATTGGAAGGAGTACCTGGTAGCAAGCACCGCATCCAATGCCGTTTTGGTAAGGTCTGTACACACCAGCTACATCACCATTATTAGCAGTTCTCCCATAATCTCCATATCCACATGCTCCATCTGATAGATGCAATTAAGTCCATAATATCAATTATGTTTTCAGCCACTCACGTAGTCAATAACCAGTCATGTCATAATTAAGTATACAATTATCAAATGAACAGTTAAACATAAGCATAAAGTTTATGCTTTATTTACTAAAGAAAAGAAAATTTAATATTTTAATTAATCCTACAAAAGCATTAGTTTGAAGATTATTAAGTAATTGATATGGACTTCAAAGAGTGATAATTAAGATTTTAGATTAGCCTATAGGATATCGTAAGAATTAATAAACTTATAGTATAGCAGTAAGGGCTACTTACTAAGGGTCTGTTCATATTTACTGAACTGAACTGATTGGATCTGAAGTGAACTAAACTGATTAGAGTTGAAGTGAACTGAATAGAGCTGAAATGAATATTTTGTAAGAGAAGGAAATTAGGAGATGAACTGAACTGATTGGAGCTGAACTATACATTTCAGAGCTGAATTGAACTGAAATTAAGCTGAAGTGAACATGCCTTAAATAAAAAATTAAGAAGCTAATATACGAAGTACAAAATAAAATATTAATTACGTCGGTTCTTCCGTGTTTTTATGAAGAATTGCAAATATACATCGTTTCAGAATATGCATATAATGCTTATTAAATGTAACCATCAAATAAAGCTACCCATATAATTGCCCTTTAATTTAGCATACATGCATTGAAATAGTTAGTCACTACGTAACACATATATACATAAGCATAACTACAGTAGAGGTCGAAGAAGAAGAAGAAGAAGAAGAAGAAGAAGAAGAAGAAGAAGAAGAAGAAGAAGAAGAAGAAACGTACATCACTCAATATGCAAGTTAAGATACCATGCATGCTACTAAAACATAGAGAAACAACTCAAACAAGAAGGCATACTTGGATTTGCTTGACCAAAATAGGTTGCTCTAGAGTTGATTTTTTGACCATAGCCAATTACAAATAACAACATCATTATCAAAGGAAGTATGATAGCTTTGTAATTTAGGCTAAACCCCATTTTTTTTTAAGGAATATTAGAAATGAAAAGACAACAAGCTAAGAATGTAAGAAGCTAATATAAAAAGATAGTGGAAGAAATGGTGAGAAATGAATTAAGCAAGAAATTCTAGATATATATAGCACATAACTTTTCATAGAAACAAAAAAATAAAATAAAAGATTAATTTTAAAAAATGAAAATTGTAAAAAATTTGACTTTCACTATTGTAGTAGTCTTTAGAGACTATGTACAGTTTAACAATGAACCGATCGCTAATTACATTTAAAGTACCTTTGCTAAGTTTATTTTAATGTATTACTTTTCAGTGCACTTAGGCTTATCAATATAGTTAAAGAAAATGCTAAGATAGTCCTAGACTCCTACATTAATCAATTAAACAAGTACATCACTTTTTATTTTTTCTAGCAGTCAAGCACTCAGTTTTGTCACAACTGAGTTAGGAGATTAGGACACATGGGAATAAAAAATCTCTAGATAATTTTTTGGAAAATTTGCAAATTGCAGCCATTTAAATTTTTTTTTTTTGCAAATTGCAACCCAAAAGTTCGTATAAATTGTAAATTGCAGTCCGATTCAATTTTTTCACCGGTTTACATGTTGAAAAATCTTTGATTAATGTTGTAGGGGTCATTATATTCCTTAGGACCCCGAATTGAGCTCAGAATTAGCAAAAAAATAACGTAAGTGTTTCATATTTACAGTTTCCCACAAATCGATATATTTTTGTTTCACAAAACGAGATACTTGCGGTATTTTTTTTGCTTATTCCGAGCTCAAATCGGATCCTTAAGGGCTAAAATAGCCCCTGAAACTTTAATCGAAGATTTTTCAACTTGTAAACCGATGAAAAAGATGAATCAGGCTGCAATTTACAATTTATATGAACTTTTGGGCTGCAATTTGCAATTTTTTTTAAAATGGCTGCAATTTGCAAAATACGAACTTTAAATGGCTGCAATTTGCAAATTTTCCTAATTTCTTATTGACTTTTACTTGACAAATAATAGTAAAACTCCAGAAAATGATTTTGGCACATCCCTATGCGAGAGCACAGTTTTCTATGTTCTTCTCATATATAGAGGTGTGCCAAAATCAATAAAGGGTGTGCCAAAATCAATTTCCTAAAACTCCTTGTGATCCAGACTCACTTGTGGGTTGTGGCAGTTGCGGTTTAGACCTAATTATTATATTATAAGAGTCTGTGTTGAACTTAATAAATAATAATAATCTGAGCCAATATAATAGACAACTCAAATGTGAAGAAGAGTGTTAGTTGAGTCCATGAACAAGCCACATGCGAATGAAAGTGTTGTCTATATTAAAAGACTGTAAAAAGCATTGAAAAATGTACCTCACATTGAAGTAACACGAAAGTCGTGTTCACTTTATAAGGTTAAGAGGCTATTTCTCTTTTTGTCATATAATTTTGGTATGGAGCCTCATTATACTTGTAAATTGGACTCTCTCTCTCTCTTGATTACGGGTGTGGTCCAGAACCGTTTTCAACACAAAACACACAAAGTATGGGGGCTTATAATCTCACAAAGAAGCCATACCATCTTGCATTCAATCCCGATTTCAAACCACGCCACCTATGTTGAATAATCAATTATACCTTAAAATAGTGAACATTATTTTTAAAAAATAATTGTAGTGAATGGAAGACCCGTAAAACCGTTGTCAAGTCAAAATTGGGTTTGGTACAAATCCTTCTTGGATAGCTATGTGGAAATTAAAAGTAACCATATTTCTTTCTACAGGTAATTATGTTTTAGAATACTTTAAATAAAAATAACATGACCTATATATCTTTATTGTGTAATCATCATCCTTACGTTTTTGTGATTAATTCGACCTACATAGATTTATAATCTAACTTCATTAATCATCCAATGAATTTTCTTCCAAAGAGTTAATTCCTTGGAAAACCTTGTTACCCAATATAACAAAGAAATGTAGAATTTATGAAATTCTTGCTTTTCCTTCTACTTTGAATAGAAGTTATTTGATACAATCGGCAATCGGGTGAACAGCACACTAGTTGCAAAACCCCGATGACATCAATCCTCATGTACATGTACGGTGTTCAGCTACATACGATTCTTTTTTTTTTTTTTTTTTGAACGGACTACATACGATTTTTAGACATGTGCGTGATGTTTAATTTAGGGACTTACAAAATTAGGGGCTTATATTACTCTATGTGTTCGAGCGCAATTGTGATGTTGATAGTCTAATTTGTAAATGTGACAACTTGATTTACACAAAGGCAATCTGCATAACTAAATGTGCAAATAACATTAAACCATCTGTTTTGAATCTTAACTTCTTAAGATAATGGACAAAAACTGCCTTGGAGCCATTTTCATCAATACAAGGCACAAGCTGCCCTCCTTTTGTAGAATCTCAACAGCAACATGTTACTGTATAACCTTCAACATAGTCTTAATTTTGTGAAACCAAAACTTATAGAAAATGATCTAAGGCTTCCTGTTCACAAGGAGCCAATAACAAAACTGCAACATTTAGCAGAAACGATGGTTTTGATAGCATAATTCAGACAAGCCATGCACACTGCCTTGTATCGCGTATTGCTTTCACATGAATTATACAATGGAACATAATATAGTTTTGAAACAATTTGCTTTGACCACTCAAATCTTGAAACCTTTGCTTCCTGCCAAAATCTTCAACAGAAAACCCGGGATGAAGAACAGGGATCCAATACATGTAAAATCATTATTGAGTACATGACCTAATAAGATGCTGCTAATACTCTGGTGACACCAAACTAAAAGGATCTTACCTCAAAAACCTCCCTCTACATATTCTTAATTGATTATCACACCAAGTAACTAAATTGACACATTCAATACTCAATGCCCTGTATCGAGTCAGCAACTAGCTACACTAAATTTTCCCTGTCACAATGAGAATATTAAGACAAACTCCATCCCAGTAAAGTTGAATGCCGCACACACTTAATGGCAATAAGTTGAATAAGCGGGCTCAAAAGAACCTAAAATCAAGCACTGCAAGCTAATGCTCACACTTTAAGACCTTTACTTTAGACAAGCTACAGGAGCAAATAAGAACCAATAGCTATCTGGTCAGGTCATAAACTGGCTTTGTTGGTACAAACCATTCCAAGATGTCACCAAGTCTTTCCCACAAAAACACACAAGCCTAGGGGGAAAAGAGGGAAGTGTACAAATCTAAGCAGTATGGGACATGACATCCTGTACGAATATGAACATCATGCAACAAGATTAGTTCTTTACGAGCCACATCTAAACAAGCTAGGAGTGCAACTAGTGCGTCCTTCAACAGTAAAGTTGAATTTTTGGCAATGAATGGTTGCAAATAATATACTTCATATATTTTATCACATCCTCAAGCCATTAAGTATAGAGGATTCACAAGATTAACACATTCTACACCATTGGAAACTAGACTAGCTGACTAAATTAAGCCATAATGCGATCAAATCAGACAAGGACCAACTTCCCCAGCCAAACAACCTTCAGTACGTAATTCACCCACAATCACGCCCCAGCAACATCAGAATCCAAACTAATACAAGTACATAGGTAAACAAGATACAGAGCAATTATGAACCAGAAAATACATAAGAGAAATAACAGAGATAGGCAGGGGATGATGAAAGTTTAGTATTTACCAAATAAATTAACTTCAATCACGTCAATAATTATCAGAATATGTGAACTCAATAAAGATATTCTGCAACTGGCATATGATAAACAAGACTAACAAAACTTTACCACAATAGCACCAGAGTAGAGAAGTGTATACAATCAAAACTAACACAGCATTGTGCATAAGAGATACAAGTCATTGTATGCTTATGACATTTATGTAAAATAGTATCCTTTAAGCAGATCAAAGCAAAGTCACCATCGTCCATAACAACATGACAATATGAATGGACAATGCGTAATAATACCTAAACATATTCAACTATAAGGGGCTGGGGGAAAAATCACTATGCTTAACTATCATCTACACTGAAGGAACAAACATTCACATCAGTAACCAAGTCTAGAGCTGCAATCGAATTGGATCACTATACCTTGTACTATGAATGCAAACATGTTTACAACTACGACACGAATCCATTAGAGTTCAAACTCATCCTCAAGCTTCAATTGCTCAACAGCAGCTTCCTCCTCATCATCATCGATTGCAAAGTAAGGATTATGAGCCTCAGGCTTAAACTTGTACCCAGTAAACACATAGAAAGCAAGTGTGGCCAATTCAGCAGCCACAACACTAGTCCACAAATACCTGTAAGAAGTAATAGTCTCAAGTGCATAGACAACCACCCTAGTGAAGTATATGTAACAGATAACCACAATGTAGTAGTGCCTAAACAAGGTCAACTTCATTAGATTCACGGCCGCCTTCCCATCGGTCCTAGCCGCCTCCCGTAGATTCTTTATCGACCAAACAATCGGAAACAGGACAGCACAACAACAAATCACATCCACCAACAAAAACACCTGCTTCCAAGTAACCCAATCTTGATTAAAAGGACTAGTCTCATCAATCACAACTTGAGCAATATTCGCCACGACTTGCAATGGGATCACAATCATCAAAACCTTCTTCTCACGATCTTGTAAATAGGGTTTCAAAAACGACCACCCAGTTCCAATCAAAACAATCAAAGTAAACAAAGTGATACCCTTCAAAAAACTAAAGATATAGAACAACACGTCCCAACCGTGCGCACTACCCGTGCGTTTAATATACGATTTATCCTCAGCTTCACAAAGAAGATTCAAAGCTTTCATGATCACAACACCAAGCATAAAGAAATGAATTCCAAACACAGTCAATCTCTTCCTGTAAAGAACATAGATCCAGAACACAGCCATACCAAAGTAAATGATTGAGAAGAAGAAGTAAATCCGGGGCAAAAGAGTCCGACCCGCAGAAAGATAATCCCGGGTTCGGGTTTTCCCATCAAGATTATA